AAATTCATACTACCAGCACACATACTTGAAGCCCTGGGGTTTTATTTGGGGGAAAGAAATATTTGATTTTCATAGGTGATAAAAACTAATGAAAAGGCTAGATCCTCAGTCACTTTTCATGCATTTACATTTAAATTACATTTACATTTAAAATTTAAAGTTAGCCAAAGTCAGTCCCCTTTGAGATGGAAATATGAAAACCCAAATTAGCCTGGGCAAGAATCACATCTCTAGGCAGTGTCTGGTTTTCTCATTTTAAAGTGGGAAATTAGACCAGATGGACCTTAAAGTTCTTCTGGTGTTAACATTTCATGGGTCATAATTTTTTTTTAAATAAGTATATCAAAACCAATAGGACAAGATAACATACATCCAGAAGGTACTTTAAAAACGGGTAGACTTCATTAAAGTTAGACATTATTTTTAAGCAAAAGAGCCCTTAAGGTTTGGAAAAGAATAAATGTCATGCCCATATTCAAGACTGATGGCAATATTCACTTTAGTTAACTTAGTTGGAAACAGTTTATATAGAAAGATAACAGGACATAGTTTAAATGAGGGGTGGGGTCATGAACTTTCAAAGTGGTTTTCCAGTCCCCCTTCCTTTACTTTGTCACTAATGCCTTGCAGCCCATGTGGAGATGGCCACCAGCCCAAGTTTGGCAGCAGAGTCTTAGAGGCAGACATTCCCAGGAGCCTGCCAAATCTCAGGCTTACAAACCCCAAGTGGGATTGGCTGCCTAGGAACTGAGTGGCTGTGCCTGCGGATCTCTTTCTTCTTTGCCATGGGTGCACATCTCTACCTAACCTCAACTGCTATGCTTCTGAACACCGTTGCAGATGCATGCTATGACTCAACCCCATGATGTGGATTTTATCATGCTTTGTTATGGGGAATAGCAAAGTCAATGGCTTTGTGCCAGCCCAAGCAGCTCTATGAATTGTTGATCCATATAAACTGCCCTGGGCCCTGTTAGGTTCAACATATTGGTGACCTGAATGAAGGTATAAAGCATATAATTAATTCTACAAATCATCCCTAATCAGGTGGCCACCACGTGATTTATGGAGATGTGTATCAAATATTTTGATTACTTTGATAATTGGGAAATAATTCTCTATAGCTAGAATGAATTTATAAGTCACAAATACAAATCACAATATTTATAGAGATTAAAAAAAAAAAAGACCTAGAAATAGCTGTGGGGGAGAGGTGGAAATTGGAAGGTCAAAACTGACGTGAAGTCAAGTAAAACCTCCAAAAGTTGCCACTGAGAGGAAAAAGAAGCCAACATGACATTGGGATGTACTAAGATTACTACTGGACAGATAGGAAATCCTTGTACTAAAATAATGAGTCACACACTAAGTAGATTATTATACTCAGAGTTTGATTTCTACACCTTTAGAAGGGTGGGGAACACTGAAGATGAGCCCAAAATGAACAGAAAGAAAGTCTAAAGGTTAACAAATTCTCATTTAAGGAAAACTATAAGATCTGCTCTGATTGCAACATTGTAACTTCAAGAGTATCCTCAAGAAAAAGAAAGATGCTAGGAAACTGTTTCTGCCTTGTTTTCTTCTCACATGCTTGGATTTGTAGAGAGAGTTCGGCTGGCAGCATGGGTGCAAGAGTAATAACCAAAAAGTGACCTTGGCTGCCAGACAGGGTGCTTCGCCTCCACTTCTCAGCAGTCACAGGGTGTGATTCTCCTGCTGCCAATGAAATTGAGCTTGCCGTGCCTTACCTGTAGCTCCACCATTATTCTAATTCTGTGACTAGGACTGCTGATGGTTTCCTGAATCCTCCCTCTCAGTCGTCCTCTATGGAGTCTGAGTTACAGGCAGGAACTTAGGCTTTGAGCCCTGGTGTCTGGAGCCATCATCTTTGCAGTCAAGGACTCAAGTGTTACGGAGCCAATGAAGCTTCCTGACTTGTGAGAAAACTCTCAGGGAACTCTGTCCTCTCAGGAAGAGAAGAATCACAGCATCCCCTCCCTCCAGTCCTGTTTGAACCTTATTTGTCTGCATTGGGTTTTAATGTATAATGTGCTTGCTTTTTTCTTTTCATTTCTTTTTTCCTCACCCATCTCTGGATTCTCCTCTTCTTCTCCATGGCAGCAATTCCTCCTAATTATTTGGTGTGTCTTCCCCACCCAGACCAGTCCCCAGGGTCCTAGGGCTGAGGAAGTGCTTAGTGGGGAGTTCATTTTAGGTCTGCCTTTTTTTGTTCCCGTTACAGTCTGCCTTTGCAGTCTCACGTTCCTCTTGGATCCTCTTTAATGACCTAACTCCTTTAAACCGTGATTTTCTTTCAGCTCATCAAGGTGGCTCTGGAGAAAAGCCTGGCAACTGCAGAGACCCAGAACATGTCTCTTGCCCCTCCTTCCTCGATGGGAGGGGACGGTAACAGGTGTCTTCAGGAGGAAATGCTCCACCTGAGGGCCGAGATCCACCAGCACTTAGAGGAGAAGAGAAAAGCTGAGGCGGAACTGAAGGAGCTAAAGGCTCAAATCGAGGAAGCAGGATTCTCCTCTGTGTCCCACATCAGGTAGGACCTTCCCCCTGGAGAAGGGGGGCTGATCGTGAGGTGCCATAGCCAAGGGGTTTGCCTTGCTGCCGCCGACACATTCGTGCTGCCACGGGCTACTGGGTCCCATCCCAGGCTCCGTGTGCTAATATTTCTACAAATCCTTTAGAGAAAAGTTGATAATATTGGATAATGATAATCACTTTTTGTTATTCAAATAAACCTGGTCTTAATTCAATATAATGATGCCCATTATTATTGCTCATATGCCCGTCATACACAACAGTCATGGTGGAAACCTAAGCCTCCTAGTCGTATGACTGATACTGCTCTTTTGACTTTACTGGAACTTGTGAGGAATCCCTGCTACCCAGGATGTTTCACTGCTGCGGGCAGCACCAGAACAGTCTGTGAGGGGATTTGTACGGAGGCCCTCCATCTCCACTCAGCTCTCTCTCAGAAGCCTGAGCCCTTGAATTGTGGAGTAGAAATTTTAACAATCTCTGCTGCTTTATTAACTTTACAGAAATGGCAAATAGCTGATGCATTGGCTAGATTGGCCACTCTGTCTCTGATGGCTTTTTGCCAAAAGATGCTTGGAGAAAATGCTGATACTATGGGGCTAATCCATTTATTCTCTTACCCCCAAGGGCCACAATTATCATTGCCTGTTGTTTAGAGTATAGCTATGCAGATGTACAACTCCTAACTCATGCCCTAATGTTTCCCTGTGTATTACTACATTGTCACTTAAACTTCCCTGAATAATGCTAACATTTGAAGAGGACTTTGGCATCTAGCCTAAAGTCCTTGTCTCATAGTTAAGGAAGCTCAAGCCTAGGAATTTCCAAGTGACTTGCTCAAGATAGCGTAATAATCTGTGGCTAGACCCCTGGCTCTTGATGTTTAACATCCATACTTTCTATACTATATACTTTGTCAAGCAACTTAAAAAAAAAAAAAAAATTCTTGTGATCATTCTTAGTGCTAGTTCTTTGACTCTGAATTATCATAATAATTCTTTCCCTAAGTTCTAACTTAAAGCATATGTTTTACTTAAACTTTTGTATGTGATTAGCTGCCACCATTAAAACAAAAATAGTAACCATCACTACAATTGCTGCTATAAAGATTATTATTGATCAGATTTATTTTTAGATAAGTAGAAACATGAGATGTACTCCCATTTTTAGGGCAGTGTGATAATTTTTAGAGAATGTGAGATGCATTCTTATAGTAAGTAAAAAATGAGATGTATTCATAAAAATGTATTCAACAAACATTTATGCGTTTACTTTACACAGGTACTGAAAGTATAATGATATAAAGAAATACAAACAGAGATATTAAACAGAAAAATTAAAATGAAATAAGAAATGAGGGTGAAATAAATTCAGAAGAAAGGATTTCTGTTTAACTCATGGTAGATCTCACAGCTATGTGCCAGAGGCAGGGGTGCATGTCCAAGTGTGTGCATGTGTTCATGTGTTGCTTTCAAACTTTTTTTGAATATGAATATATTAAAGTGGAGTATGAACACTCCAAATTTGCTACAAAAAAAAAAACTTTTGTATATGTAAACTTAGTTGAGCTGTCATTGGTAAGAACAATACATCTCTTTTGATTCTACAATTGAAGCTACAATCAAACCATGCAGAGATATCCCCATGGATTATTTTCTTTTTTCCTCAGAGTTACTAACCTGAAATTCTGATTTATTTAAGCCTCCACTCAACCTGAAGAATCACTGATGCTGTGGAAGATAGAATATATCTAATACACAGCCCCCCTTTTCAAGAAGATTTTTTTGAGCTTTTCTTTCATTTGTTTGTATTTGGAAACATCAGGATTTTCTCTAGAACATAAAGTTAGAACGTAATATTAAATATTTTTTTTCCATACACATGTGTCCCTTTCTCTCCCTCCTACATCCCAGTTTTGTTAAAATACCTGCCTCCTTTTTCTCCATTGAGAAACTGTCTTCTAGACAGTGCCTCTGAGTCTTGTGTCCTAAAGTGTTTTATTTCCTGAATCACACCAGACAAACTCTGCTCTAGGTTCCAAGGCTTCAGGATTCTGAGAAATCCAACTTAGGTGCATAGCCAACTGCCGACCCTTCAGGTTGCGAATTACCCATTTCTTTTGCGTCTTCTGGCTCAGTGGTTCTCAGTCTAGCATGCTTAAGAATCACCTGTGGAACTCAAGTAACATGTAGATTCATAGGCCTTAGCCCTGCAGTTTTTTAAACAAGAACCTCATGGGATTCTGATGTTGGTATTCCTCAGGTCTGCAGCTAGTACCGCAGGAATGAATGACTTCTCTGTTGCGGACCCTGAGCTAACCACACCATACATGTACTTCCACTTAAGCATCCACTAACTCCACTACGGAAGTGTTATAATCCTTATTTTATATAAAAGGAGACTGAGGCTCAAAAAAGTTAAGTGAATTGCCTTGTTAAAGCCATGTTTTTATTGCGTCCACCCAACCCTAGTAAAGAGTTTATTGGGGGAAAGGGTGGATCTAGAATGTCTTGGTGAAAATTAGTTGTTTTTGTCAATTTTATTTCTTCAACAAATGTTGATGTTTTATGTGGCAGTCACTTGTGTAGGCACTAGGGGTACAGGATGAACAGGACAGACACGGTTCCTGCTCTCATGAAGGGCATTTCTTATTTCACGAGCCAGACATAAAGCAAATTATTGTATGAGTGCATTTTGATAGCAGTTCTAATAGTAGTAGTATTTATTTCTTCTGTGTTCCTATGTCCCAATTTATCTTTCAGTGGTTTAAAATCGACTGATGATAAATAATAGAATCATAGAATCCATAATAATGGATTTGTTATAGGCAAATCTATTTTTTCTTAACCGCATAAGAATCCTGTTTATTCCAGAGGCCACTGAAAATTAGAACAGATGAGGCTGTGTGGCACGAGCAAAGAAAACTAGACTGGGAATCTTGAGTCCAAGATTTTTGGTGATAGCACTGCCTGCAAGTAGCTGTGGAAAGATGGGCACATCTCTTACTCTTCCTGAGCCTTGGCTTTCTTATCTTTAAAATAAGGGAGCTGCGGCAGGTCTCTAAGTTTGCTTTATACTCCGGTGTGTCTCTGAGTCTATCGTGGACTGAGAAGTGAGTAAAAAGGGCTACTAGGAACTGTGGTCAAGACCAGACCTGGCCCCTAATTCTGTGTGTTCCTTGCAGGAATACCATGCTGAGCCTTTGCCTTGAGAATGCAGAGCTGAAAGAACAGATGGGAGAAGCAATGTCTGATGGAGGGGAGATTGAGGAAGACAAGGAGAAGGGCGAGGTGATGGTGGAGACTGTGGTAGCCAAGGGGGGTCTGAATGAGAATAGCCTTCAGGCTGAGTTCAGAAAGCTCCAGGGAAAACTGAAGAATGCCCACAACATCATCAACCTCCTCAAAGAACAGCTGGTGCTGAGCAGCAAGGAAGGGAATGGTAAACCTGCTCCAGAGCTCCTTGTGCATCTGGCCAGGGAGATTGACAGAATGAACACAGAACTGGTTTGTCCTCCTGGGAAGCACCAACAGCAAGAAGAGGAGGATGTTACCACAAGGCCTTGCCCCAGACCCCAGAGCCTTGACCTGGGGCCCCCCCTTGCAGTGGATGCCCTCCAAGTAAGTGTGGGCTTGGATGAAGTGAAAAACACTTGGAGAAGGGCTGGAGATGCCAGTTTTCACCTAAAACAGCTCTGCCTTGTGGGTCAGGAGGTACCAAGGGAAGGGCACCTTTGCACCACAAGCAGTGGTAATGATAATATTCCATACACATTCAATCTTTAGAAAGGCTTTTATAAATATTATCTCATAAATATTTCCTGAATACTTAATTTTCCAGATAACACACAAGGCATTGGCAGCAGACATTAACACCTGATCTTTGTCCTTGAGATACTCAGTATGGTGGGGAAAGATGGTACAAAAACAGATAATTTCAACAGGACGTGGTGACCACTGTAACATAGGGATGCGTCAGGTTTTAAGGCAGCCCAGACAAGTGGTGTGTAATGACATCTCTCTTATCACTGCCATTTTGTCACAGCTCATCACAGGTGTCTATTCCTGGGGTTACTGGAATCCTCCTAAGAGGAGAAAGTTTGCTGAGGATTCAGTGAGATGGAGAATGCAAGGATTCTTAGAGAACCACTGGGACAGGAATGAGGGAGAGATGGAGGTTTCCATGTTCTCTTTTCAAACACTGAGCAAACACTTACTTACAGCTCCTCTGCAGGCTTGATTGGCACTGAGCTATGTGCTGTAGATACTGAGATGAATAAAACATCATCTCAGCTCTCCAGGAGCTCCATCTGGAAAGCAAGTAACTGCCAAGTGGCATAAGAAGTGCTGAGACAGACACATGAATAAAGTCCACAGGATTCAGAGGGGAGGTGCTGTCACTGCGTGGGGGATGAACTCAGACCGTCCTAACCCCTGTATCGGCCCCTTCTGCAGCTGGATAACCAGTCCCAGGCCTGTAACCCTGAACCTCAGTTAGAATTTAGCCTTCCGGGGTCTACCAAGCATCTGCGCTCCCAGCTGGCACAATGCAGACAACGCTATCAAGATCTCCAGGAGAAGCTGCTGCTGTCAGAAGCCACCGTCTTTGCCCAGGCTAGCCAGCTGGAGAAATACAGAGCCATATTTAGTAAGTCTTTCTTTTTTTTTTTTTTTTAACCACAGGCTTGTTCTCCGATAGTAAGTCTTTTAAGTTCACCATCACCAAAGTGTCTTTCTTCTTCTGGAGAAGCTACATGTTGTATAGGCTTTACTTTTCTTCCCTAACCTCAAAACAAATTTAGGCCTGACCATAGTCCTAGCATTGTGGAAGTAGATATTTCACTTCAATTTGCAGGTGGTGAAGGAGAATAAAGGAGTGAAGCAAGGTTTCAAGTCTGCAGTGAGAGTAAAGGAAGGAAATGGCTGATGTCTGGAATAGCCAATAAACTACCTTACCTCTCTCAACGTGTGCTAATTGTCTTTCTTCTGCTTCTCTTTGCACCATATCAGATTCTTCAAAAACAAATTGTTGTTGGTCTAGAATCAGCACTGTCCAACAGAACTTCCTGCAGTGATGGAAGCGTTCTATATCTACATCACATGTGGTTATGGACCACATGAAGTGTAGCTAGTGCAAGTTAGAAATTTTATTTTATTTAATTTTAATTAATTTAATATAAAGTAGACATATGTGGCTAGTAACTTCCTTATTGGACAGTACAGATCTAAATGCGTTGGGACTCTAAATTAGTTCAGCTCCATTCAAATATTTACTGAGCCCCTATGGGTAAAGCACTTTCTGGCTTCACTGGAGCTTCCAGAGATGATAGTATGAATTCCCAATTTACAGATGTCTGATCCCAACTGAGCCTAGGTTATCTGAAGGCGAGCTTCACAGCTTCCTTCTGGTGGAGGGAAGTCCTGCTGCCTGGAGCATGTGGTCTCTTCTCCTGTAAGTCCAAAGAAGCATTTCTCCTGCTCTAGGCCTAACCTCCCTGCTCCTTAAGGCCAGGGTATGTGTCACTGAGGTTGAGGGTGTATGTGAGAATTCAGTCATTCTGTAACACCTGCTGTTTCTTCCTGAGCAGGTGAATCCTTGGTGAAGCAGGACAGCAAGCAGGTCCAGGTGGACCTCCAGGACCTGGGCTATGAGACTTGTGGCCGAAGTGAGAATGAGGCTGAGCGGGAGGAGACTACCAGTCCTGGTAAGAGAACAGGGTATGGGGCTCACCTCCCCTCCCTGGAGTCAGTTGTCACGTTTGGGTGCTGTTGGCCAGTCCTACACCAGACGATTGTGGGGAGAGGGTGTTGTGGCTGAAGGGGACACAGGACCAGAGAAAGACAGGAAGTTTGGAGGAGAATTCTTGCCCAAAATGAGACTGAGTGTGAATTTGAATTTCTACAATTCATTTTTGGCATACTGCTATTACTACTAATAAAGTTCTATCTAATTGATTATTATAGAAAGAAATACTAAGGCCTACTTATTAAAGAAGAGATCAAATGAGCTTTGGGGGACATGCAAGCCATAAGTTAAACACAATTTTGTTGTATAAAGGGACCATAGCCATAGAGCCACCCACCAAACTGAAACCCAGAAGAGGAGAAAAGCATTGGTAATCTCTCTCACCCTTGTGGCGGTGTAGTACAGTAGTTAAGAGCAAAGATCCTGGGGCCAGACTGGTTGGTTCAAATCTCAGTTTGTGAACTTTTCCATGCCTGTTTCTTCATGTTAAGATGGTAATAAAGGAATTACCTACCACTTTGTGTACTAATGTCAATTAAATGAGCAGATTCTTCTAAAACACTTCAGGAAAATGCCTGGAACCTGGTAAAATGCTATAATATATCCATTCTCATTCTGACTACCACTGCCCTAATACACCATTGTTAATATGCTGATGCATGTCTTTGAAGTCTTATTTTCCTATTCCTATTTTTCACACAGGGTTGTCACCCAATAAACTTTTAAATCATAGTAATATTTGGAGAATGTTAAACTTTCATCATGCAGGAATAGCTTGTCCTACATTTTTGTGGCCATCCTAAATATGTAAAGCTCATGTTAATGTCTTACTTAAGAGGCATCAATGTGTGTGGAATGAACATGGGACACTGGAGGATTTGAATTCTGACTCTGCCTCGTGCTAGTTTGAGTGATCAAGAACAAGCTAGTTTACTTCTCTTTGAGTTTTTGTTCCCCCAGTCAATAAAATAGAAAGTGGCTATACCTAATTTGCAGGGATGTTGGGAGGATAAGAAATACTGTATTTGAGTGCCTAGTACATAGTACAGTGTCAGAGCTGAATAAAGTACTGCTTCAACTTTTGCCCTAGTAATTATTGTCCTTGTGACCAAACCTACTTCCTCTTGAAGGGAGTTGCCAAAGCAGCATGTCCAGCCTTTTTT